ATTAACTAAGAAAAAATGCTCTTCTTGTTTTATCCTGTTCATTTTGTGTTTAAATGCTAAAAAACATATTTAAATCAATTGGTTTTCCATTATTTCTTATGGGAAAAATTCGATCAGAACTCGAACTTTTTAGGATTTGATCCGGAGTCCGGAACGGATTAAGTTCGAGAATCGATCGAGGTACCACTGTAAATAAAAAACAATCTTATTGTGGCAGATCTCTGTGAATATGAGCTGACTGTTTGTGATAAGACCGTCTCCTGGATTCGCGGTTTGGTCTTAATTGCATTTCCATTCATTTGTTTCATTGCTTATATTCCTCAAATTGGTTTTAGTTAATGGGATATTCGTTGCCAAGGGAACAGTAATTTGACCCCAGCGGAAGAGACCGTCCACTGATGGATGGGGGGTCTGGGAAGATTTTCACCAGAAGCAGATATTGTGACATGAAAATCTGACCCCCAGAGCTCAGAGGAAGTGAGTGACTCATATGTTTACACTGAGTCCGGTTGTGGCTTTGGTTAGATTGTGGCAGAACGGACTCTGCAGCTGAATTAATGTTGCAGTTTTCACGGCTCTATTTTGGGGTACTGTAGTGAAAGAGGCAACATGGAAACATAGACTTTATGAAAAGAAACCCAGAAGTTCCCTGCAGATTTGCAAAACTTTTAATAACACTGAACATAGGCAGTGCATTAACACAGTGGTCAGATGTTAGAACATATGAAGCCTATGTTTTTCAGGGCAGCATTCCTGTGCAGTGATACTTAGGAGGTGGTAAAGAGTTAATCACGGCCCCTGGTCAGTATATCAGAATACTGCTGCATTCTACGATGTAATTATCTCACTCCTAACATATCTTTGTGTGGCATGAACTGAATGCACGTTTTCATTACCATAAAGAATGTCTTTTTGAATCAGTTCATAATGGTTATTTTCCCTGTTTGCCCGTCAGGCACAATGGAACCAGACGGGCCCAGAGAACAGATTTTCCCGTTAACTGATCGTTTCATTTTCCCGCTTTGCCAGAAGATAATTGGCCCTCGGTCACAATGGGAGCCTGATGCACGCAGGCTGCTGACTTGGGCAGCTGTGGTGCGTGTGGCAAGATGCCGTGTGTCGATGTGTGCGAGTGCAAAACATGCTGGGAGCTCGCAGTCCCTTCCAGCGATCACCTGGGCTGTGTGTGTGTGTGTGTGTGTGTGTGTATGTGCGCGCACAAGGCTGGACATTATTCCAGATATAAACATTCCCGCTGACGTTTAGAAGTGCTTACAGTAACCAGTTTCATCTGGAGATTAAAAAACTGCTTTTCCAATGAGCCGTCACTTCAGATGTGTCCAGGAAAACTTGTTGTCCATTATGAGTTTAACGAGATGCAATTTTGGACTCGATTTACGGCTGCGTGACTTGGCTTTATTTATGTGCACGCTAACTAAATTGGTGTGAATATTCTGTTTTTTTCTCTTTGTTTGTTGAAGGACAACTTAAATAAACATGCAAAAATATGCAGTAGGTTATAGAAATCTTTACCAAACGAGTCATCTGGCGCCTTCCAGAGAGCGAAGGGGCCGTCGGTGGAAGTGATGCTGTTTCTCCAGCAAATCCTTAAGCCTCAAGTCGTTCGCGTGCAGTTTACCTGAAGACCTAATGGGCCCATTCACCTGCTGCAGTCGTCATACTCAATGTGGCTGTTTGCCTCTTAATAACAGCCATGAAGTCTGGAGAGATGTAAATGGGTGAAATGAAATCTGTTAGAGACAAACGTCCAGAATAATAATCTTCAGTGAGCTGGGGAGCAGCTTCAGATTTTGGGTCCCATAAAAGCATATCATATTGGGCCCCCAACCCAGACCAGTCCAATTATATTTCAAATTTTTTAGGGCCCCTGTCACTCAGGGGCCTTTGGAATCATCTTAACTTCCCCCCTTTACGGCGCCCCTGTCAGTGAGGCTAATTACTCGAAAGAAAAACAGTGGGTATGAATGGTCTTTCTATTTCAAAAGGAATGCATTCTCCCAACCTCATTGTCTCTTTCAGTAGTCAAGCGACTTTGCTACACTCAGTTAGCGGTTAGCTTCTGAGCATGGAGCAGGTTGTTCAGGGCTATTAGGAGTCATTCAGGCACTTGACAGGCAGCTATTAAAATAGTCATGGCAGTGATTCACACAGCAGCAAACCGTGACCATGTGACTGTAGGACCCATAATGCATGCTGACACAGCTCTCCTCCCAGGAATGCGGCCGTCCATTTGTCATGACCTTTTGTTTTACAAGCTAATGGAAGGCTAAATAAGCGATGCTGTCCCTCTGTGGGCTGATAAATGACTTAGTCCTGAACAAACCTGCGTTTCTTGGGAAGATGTGGAAAAACCCACAGGTCTGCAAGAAACTGTCAAACTTTCAAAAATGTACTGGGTCCATGTTGAAGTATATGGCTCAACATTACCTGGATTGTAATAATTGCATTATTAGTCAGAAAAACTAGATTTTTCCATGGCGAGATTAACACTGTAAAACCTAGGGAGGGTGTGGATATCTTGGGGTTGAGGTTAGGTCAGGGAGCAAGACCATCTGCACACTTATGACCAGTGGTGAGTAGTTCAGCTCCTGAGAGTAAAAGTCCAGACCAAGATTTAGTTTCAACCAACCAGTTCAGTACTCTGTGACTGTGACTCTATCTACTCTACTGGTTGGTTGAAACTAAATCTTGGTCTGGACTTTTACTCTCTGCACCGGAATTACCCAACTCTGCCTATGACCAATTGTATTGAGAGCAAGTTTGTTATGTTTCTGATGAAGAAAGATCGGTTATATGTAGTTGTACAACTTAGCTGGGTTAAGTTACAAAGCACTGCAACTGTAAGTTACTGCTGTCTGACTCATGCAAAGGGTGCAGATAAAATCACTCCCGTCCCGACGATCTGTTTGCCATCACGAAAAAACAGATTTTTCACAAATGCTTTAGATCTGTGGACATTTTAGATGAAGAGGCTAATAAAAATTTTAATGCCTCTTTTTTTGTGTGTGGAAATGAATCCAGCTGTCATTGATGTTATTACAAAATGGACAACATGGCTTTGATTTACAGTAGACGAGGTGTATAGAGTGATTGCAGAAGACCAGGTATTTGCGATGTATCTGTGACTCTGGGCTACTAGGACTTTCGGTGATGTTGCTAGTGGACAGACTTTAAATAGCCAGGTTTATAATCAAGTGGCTGTTTGTTGCATGTTTCAAGATCAGAAGGCGAGTGGCTTTTGAGCAAAGAATGGAAAATATTACCGTACTCACTGTATCACGAATCTCTGGATGTGATTCAGTCAGAATCAAGCTGCCTGGTATTTTACTTGCTGTTTTGTAATCACATGGTTAATTCATCTGCATTTTTTGATTATGCTAAATATGGAAATATTAGAACATGTTTATGGAAAATTACTGCATTTTCTCAGCATGCTAACCATTGTGGTTTGTGAAGTTAAGGGTTTAGTTAACCAGATACCATCCATCCATCTTATAACCTCTTATACTGGTCAGTCCTGTGAGGGGGTCCATAGCCTGTCTCAAGCAGTCATAGGTACAAGGCTGAAGCCCATCTCAGGGCACACACACACACACACACACACACACACACACACACCATGGCAATGTAGTCTCACTGATTAGCTTAACTGCAGGGGGAAGCCAGAGTGTTCATACTCACACACACACACACACACACACGCACACACACCATGGGCAATGTAGTCACACTGATTAGCTTAACTGCAGGGGGAAGCCAGAGTGTTCACACACACACACACACACACACACACACACACACACACACACACACACACACACACCATGGGCAATGTAGTCACACTGATTAGCTTAACTGCAGGGGGAAGCCAGAGTGTTCATACACACACACACACACACACACACACGCACACACACCATGGGCAATGTAGTCACACTGATTAGCTTAACTGCAGGGGGAAGCCAGAGTGTTCATACACACACACACAGTTGTGTAATCATATTTTTTTGGGGACCGCTCATTCATTTCTATGGGAAAAATGCTAACGCTAACTATGACAACCTTAACCCCTACCCAGCCATAACCAAGACCATAAGTAACCAAACAAAATACAAGAGCATACGCACACACACACACGTCGGAGGTAACAGCACCACCCTCATCTGGTTTTGTCCTATCTTGTTAATATCTATGAAATGCTAAGCTTACAGCGTCCATCTGAAAGAATTATGGGATGCGAGCTACTATACAGACAACAGTCTTATAATTATATAGGTTTTGAATTCAAATTCCACTAAAGAGACACAGAAAGGTGACCTGTCCTAACAGTACGTTTATCACTGTGAACATGGGGAATTGGGTAACAACTCTACTGTAATGTGCACTCAATGTCTCTGACTTCATTGACAGATCTCTCTCTCTCTCTCTCTCTCTCTCTCTCCAGCTCTGGTAGTGAGATTCCTGACCAAGCGTTTCATCTGGGAATATGACCCCACCCTCGGTAAGACACACTGGCACATGGCATGAGGGGCCCTATTGTAGTCCCCATCCCAGTGGGCATATCAGTGGTGGGAGTGAGAGTCCTGATACCCCCATCCCCCCTCGCTCCCCTTTGTTCGCCTAAACACATCCCCATTCACTTTATCTGCCAACATCGCTAAAGTGACTCCATCCTAATTACAGACGCAGACTGGCAGGTCCGTCTGGGACTTGGGGATTGTCGGATGAATTGTGTGCCTTCAGTGTTATGCCAGGGAGGGAGATATACAGCCTTTCATATTTAATATAGATCGAAGGCCAGATTTGACAGTAAATTTCTGTGACACGCAAACGGAAGTTTGATAGCATGGTCAGTTTAACTGCTGAAACATACAAAGTCAACACAATAAGGACACTGAAATTCTTTCGGTAACTCTAACTTTCAGTTTGGAAAAAGTGTGATATAAAATGCGATATAACTCCTTGGGTGTATTCCAGTTCATGTTTATGATACATATTTGTGGTTCAGATCTCATTTTGGTCCTGATACTGATACTCTTTCCATCCATTTTTCCATCATCCAACACTAGAACTAGAACTCATTCCTCCTTTACCTTCCACTTCTTCCCCCGTCTTCCCAAGCCCCTGTGAAGAGAGACATAGTGCAGACCATGTCTGCAATTTGAAATGGCACGAATGCTATTTTATTATGACACCAGCAGCAGATAGTTTAGCATTACAGAACATCAGTGAGACTTTTTGACTTTCAAAGGGATGTGTCCCGGCCAGAACCAGGCGTGGCCAACCACGCAAGAAAGCCAGCGTGGAATGTGAGTGTAGATCCCGGCATTCTGAAGCACGTCACACTTAAAAAGTCTTCAAAGCTACATCCAGATCTGCAGAGGGTAGCCAGTGACGATGCAGTGGCTTGTAAATTCAGTGTTATTACCTTTTAAACTGGATGCTAGCTGAAGCAGCTGAAGCCGAGGGCAAAGGTACCACAAGAGGTTTCATACCTTGGTTTGAGGAGCAAACCCCTTTTGCCCTGCCTCCGCACAACCTTCAGCGTTTATGATATCAGAAGTAGTAGATCAAGCCAGACACCCACTGAAAAATGTCTGCTTCTTCAGTATTGGAAATGTGCGGAACAAGCAAGATGGTTCTCCATATGAAGATGTTTGGTGCCGTTGATGGCAATAGGGAGAATATTGAGTTTCTCTACTGCAGTGATCCGGAACTGTCTAGGTGGAGCTTAATGGTGGCATTTAATATGGTGCATATGCGAGTGACTTGTTTAAGTGGTCGAATTGTTATGGTGGAATGAGGTACTTCTTATTAGGGGGAATGCAGAGGATCACTTACCAGAGGGAGATTTTATTTGGGAATCACTCTTCCCCAGAACATCTGGCCAATAAAACCAGAGCAGTGAGTACAATAAGAGGAAAAGTCCAGTGTACAGTTTGTCATTGATTACATTAATCAGACCTATTGCATCATGATGGGGAACTTCAGTGAGGTCTGCAACTGCAGCATCAGCAACTTCAGTGAGATTCTGCCTCTTTTGGCCAGGTTTCCTTTTTCCAGCAATATAAATGAATGAACTCTCTGCCCCTGAAAAGCAGCCTCTTCTATGTCTAGAGGGTGTCAGCTCAAAGCACAGCGATGCCACTGATAAGGGCTGAAATATTCCGTGTTAGGAAAAATATGGGTGTTTATCTCCCAGTGTATGGGTAGATCAGTGAGGATGTGGGCGGGGTGTCGGTCACTCAAATGGGACCTCGCCTGCAGCTCCATTCTAGGTGGGGGGGCTGCCCCCCCAAGCTTGATTCCATGAAAAGTGGGGCTCAATAAATCAATTCCCCTGCAGGGCTGTTAGCAAACATCAATCTTCTGCCTTGTACAAACATGCAGAAAATCTCCTTCCTGGCCACTTGGGGAATCTATGGATGACATGTACAGTAAATGTGCGTCAGTTCAGAGATCAGGAGGTATTTAAGGATCCCCGACTTGTATTCACTTGCGACACCCCTGGGGGTTCTTAAAGGGGTGGGTGGCTGGGCGGGGCATTTCATGAGATGTTATAAAAACACTCGGGAAATTAAATACCTTAAACAGCCAGGCTGTTTACATCAGGATTTATTTGCATGAGTACATATTCAACAGATAGGGCTTTTAGAAAACTACTCATCAAGGATACTCATCCTGTGACAGCTTACTCAGGATAGTGAAGAAGGGTAGATTGTGGGATAAAATGTAATCGAGCTAAATTTTACTCCCAATAAAGTCAAAAGGCAGAATCTGTAAATCAAGAGTTAATGCTGTTGTGATTAGTACGTTTTTGGAAATGATCAAGATTGCATACTATAAATGTGCATGACAGTAAGGTTTTATATTTCTATCCGAGCCAAAGAAACAATTAATATTACTTCTGAGAATAGTTCAGCTTGGAAGAAACTTACTTATGTTGTCTGGAATTTTGGAAAGTATGAAGAGTTCTTAAAAAGTCTAATTAGAGCAACCAAAGCAGATTTATATACAGCTGTCCATCACACCTTCAGCGTCCAACCTGTCAGTCTTTAGATACAGAGCCAAGTCGTTCATTTCTTGGGATATTTTGCTGCCTTAAGGCAGTTATGAAGTAACTAAGCTATTTGATAAACAGGCAGCTTTCACATCGTTCACAAGTGAACTGGTTGACTTGCATTAAACAGCCAATGCTTTTTATTTTCTCAGAGTCAACGTATCGCCATCAAGCAAACATTGATGATGAAGTTGTCAACATGGAGATCTTAGACACAGCAGGACAGGTCAGCTCTAACGGACGTTACTTCGTGTATTTTGATAGGAAGATGATCCCTAACAATGCTTACTTCATAGCTACACATAAATAATATTGATTTAACTTTTTTTTTTATTGATGGTGTCTAAGCTTATTTCTGTTTATTTGTGTTTTGGTCAGTAGTTATTGTCTTTTAAACTAAGATTTCATAGATTCTGCTTGTAACAATAAATTATGTAATAATGCCACATTATTTAATTACTTGACAGAATGTAGCAAACTGAATGATAATAATAATAATGATGATGATGAAAATAATAATAGAGAAATTTTACAATATAAAATTATAATATGATCTATACATTTGTAACATTTTGTTATTACATAATGTGGTCTTATTAAATAATGCATTGTTACGTGGTTTGTGACAACGTATTATATGTAATAACATTGCATAATATGATGAAAATTTGTTACATTTTGTCGAGTTATTACGTAATGTGGCATTATTATATAATGCGTCATAACACTGTTTATTAGCAAGCAATAAGCTTAATTTTTATTGGTCAGCACTAGTTAGGAGCAGGTGGTATTGCGAATGTTGATTGGCTAGCTGCTAACAATTTGTTATCCCCTGTCCCAAGGAGGATATGCTGCAGAGGGAGGGCCACGTGCGCTGGGGCGACGGCTTCATCATTGTCTATGACATCACCGATAGGGGCAGCTTTGAGGAGGTGCCACCGCTCAAGGGCCTGCTGGATGAGGTCAAGAAGCCCAAGAGTGTCATCCTGGCCCTAGTGGCTAACAAGGCCGACCTAGAGCACGCCCGGCAGGTGAGCACAGAGGAGGGCGAGCGGCTGGCGGCTGAGCTGGCCTGTGCCTTCTACGAGTGCTCGGCCTGCACGGGCGAGGGCTGTGTCAGCGAGGCCTTCCTGGAGCTGTGCCGCGAGGTGAGGCGGCGCCGCATGGTGCAGGGCAAGACCCGTCGCCGCAGCTCTACCACCCACGTCAAGCAGGCCATCAACAAGATGCTCACCAAGATCAGCAGCTAGGGGGCGCCACAGATGGACTTTGAGGAACGTAAAGCACTTTAACCGTCAAAGCTGAGGATGGCGCTCACTATGGTGTGCGGGACACTGCCTTATGCTGGGGCGAGGAACGTCTTTATAGCCTGTTGTCTGTATGCCATGTTCGTGCTTGGTTCTGCATCAAACGTTGGGTTTATTTAACGTCTGGGACTCTACTACAAACTATCTGAAAGGATCATGGCTGGGACTCTGATGTTCTTAGCCTACAGGGTTTTCCATTGCCGCTACAGTGGGACGGCCATTGTGTTTTCATCTTTATCACCCAGTTCAGAGGGATCACGGGAACAAAGTCTTCCTTCCCGATGGGTAGCATTCAGATCTCTTTGGAACAGCATTTTGCCTTCAGTAACTGGCAAGTTCCATTTCAGCCTGTGTTTATTTAGCTCAGCCTGTTGCTAGTCTGAAGCTACACACGCGTTTTAAAGGTTCGCTTTGGGCAGAGGGTAACATCTTATTCCTACATGTCATGTCCATAATTTGCTTTGCACTGATTTGATCTTCGCTGCGCAGCAGCTTCTAAAGACCGCCCATTCTCGGAGCAGTGTCTCAATGCTTATTCTGAGTTTCGGGGAGCTCATTCATCTCCGTTTGGTCTGAAAGGCCCTCCGGCGTGGCTTTCGTGTCGACTCAGATGAAACGAGAGCAGATCAAATAAAGCATTACTCAGCTGCATCTCAGGATTCAAAAGGTTTCGTTTCGCAGTCGGGAGACTTGGCGTGCAGCCGCGTGTTTACCAGTGAGATGGTTATGCGTCGGGGGTCGAATTATGGCTCTTCAGTAGCCCCAGACTTCAGGAAACAAAGTGTCCTATCACTGATGTGTTTCTGCAGAGCCATCTGTGTGTACTGTTGTGTTAAGAACAATTTTTTTAATACACATACAAATATCTCAGAATATCTCTTTATCGTTAAGCCAAGTCGATCTATCAGCACTCAATGGTGTTTCTGGCAATTCTGTTTTTTTTCTTGATGGTAATCATCACTATCCTTGAAGATTACTGGCTACACTGTAAGGCATGAGAAGCAAATATTCAGTGAAAGTTTTATTAAACAACAAACAGGGCTGTCATGTTCAATTGTTTTTATTGTGCTTATTAATATAGAGCGAATGGATGTGGATAGATTATGCCACAAAAGAGGAGGGGGGGGGGCAGCAATGGTACTGCAAAAGACGACTGAATATGATACTACAGCATTATACCACAAAACTACATTCAAATCCTTAAACAAAGACAACGATTCACAGGCTTTTCCCCAAATGCAGCTCAACCTGGTCCATATAACCTGTTTGAATCAGTAATGTAAATAGTGACAGATTCGCCTCATCATTCATAACCTGACGACACAGAGCCCAGGGGTATTCAATTATTTTTCCCTGAGGTCCAAATTCTGTTAGAGACACAATGCCAAGGTCGACTGCTCCCAATCAGATTTTCCGGGGCGGTGGGTTAGGCAATCCCCATTGGTAGATTACACTGACTGGTGGGCGGTACATCGAGCTGGGGGGGATGGGGAGATGGTTCAGTATCGGTTCAGACCGGAGTCTGCCAGTTTAGTACCCTTAGCCTAAAGTATGCAGAATGTGTAGAAATTCATCCCTGTGCTACCAAACCTATTGCTGGCTGATGTGAAATTCTCTTTGTTATGCACATTATTCAATTCAGTAGAGTAAAAATGTATTCTTGTCATTTCAATTTGGACATTGTGGGAATAAAACAAAACAAGAAATAATTCTACAAATGTGAGTGTACAGGAAAAAGGCATCAGTGTGCCCTGTGATTCCAGACAGCATCTCGGACCTTGAAATGTTCGGAGACCTGTCCCATTTGCAGAAGCCTTACAACACTTTGTGTCTATGTTTTTTCCGCAAAAAGATGCATGAAATGTATTTACAAACCTTGTACCCAATCCAATATAATCATTAAATGAAATATGTTGCTATAAAATTTCATTTAATTTCAGACTCTTGGGCTTCCAGAACCACTATAATCCACCATCTGAAATGCAAAACGGACAAAAGAATACATGGTACTGAGAAAAAAAGGGAAATGGGTCATGATTTATGGACTGAAGACTGTCCCTGCAGGGGCATGATTTTCAAGTCCCACCCCCATGACTGGCAGCTGATTGGCTCAATAGGAGTGGGTATCACACCATTGTTCACGGTATTTAGGGGTCTGTGCAAGAAACCGGGCGTCAGAAGGTTGAGTTTCAAAGCCTTCCTTCCAACACAGCTAGGGGGGAGGTGAATTTTACTCAGGGCCTGGGAGGGACAAGGGAGCGCCCTGTCTGAGGGCAGCTAATTACAAGGGGACCTCCCGAAATACCCTGTGGTTTCCGACCAGAGCACCTCCTCTGCCCCTACTCAGTGGGGGCTAAAACAGTTGGGAGCGATTATCTTCCTAACATACATGATATGCACATTTGACGGATTCTCTGAGATCTATGTGGTGTAGTAGGTAGCAAACTCAATAACGGTGGCGTATGAAGTGAGAGTGTAGTAGCATGTTATTGACATCACAGGCTCCCAGGTTGCTTTTGATACTGACTTCCTGCTGTCATCATAAAAAACGTCTTTAGTAACGGTTTTGGCTGATGTGCCGGCATCCGACTGCCTTCCTGTCCTCCCAGCTGTGACCAGCGGCGCAGGCTTCCCAACTCCCAGCGGATTCCTCACATCCCCAGAGCCCCCCCCCCCACCAACAGCTCCCGGCTGCTTGATATATTTCTCCCCCGCGGCCAGACCTAAAGTCAGTGCAGGGGAGAGGAGTAGAGCTTCAGCCTTGAACTTATAATTGAGGGTTGGGCTGCAGCTCAGAAGAAGAGGATTCATGGCTGTTATGATAATTTAATATACCTGGATGCTCGGCGGCTCCTGTGTTACTCCTCAAATCTTGCGGGAAATGGAATGTTTTCATTGCGACGTTTCATTTTTGAAAGAGCAAATATGAATTTGCTTGTCGCTGCAGTTTCGCTGCTCTTAAATCGCCCTTATGTTTCATATCAGTTACAGGAAAGAAATGTGTTTTATCAGTTGGCAGAATTCAGTTCAACCCACGCCTTAACCTCACGCTTAAATCTAACAAAACTCAAATCTTTCATACCACCTTTATTAAATGTTAGTTTTAAAAATCTTCTTGGATTCTAGGGTTAAAAAAAAAGCTGAAAATAAGAAAAATGAAGGAAAGCAGGGACATTTGATTTTTATTATATTTGTGTGTTTAGCAGACGGCCGCAGTCTCAGGAAGAATTTTTAAACCAAACAGCAAGTGGATATTTAGACCATGAGTTGTTCTGGTTTTGAGCTCGAGGGTCTTAGCAAATTCATTCTAGCCGCCTGCAAGGATTTTTTCAGTCTGAAGCCCCCAGTTTGGTAGCATTACAGTGCCAAACAACACAAAGGATGGCAGAGCCTGACGGCACAAAGTGATTAGCAGGTAACCTCAGTGAGATCTGAAGGCTCGCAGAATGAAAGCAGGAGGACACTTCCATATATGTAACCCCCATGCAAAGTACACAAGCACTTCTCCGACGAGGCAGGGCGACTTTGTGCTTTGTGAGGCGTTACTATTGCCATGGTGACCAAGGTCTTTGCAGTTTTTAAGTAGGAGTGAGGTGTTTTTTTCCAGGTTGGTTCACAGAAACAATGTCATGTGCCCTTGGGAAGGGAAGGAGAGCTATAAAGCACTTTAAACCCAAGTTACATACTCCGCAAAAACAGCTGCAGTAGGGAGAATGTGAATGTGTTTATGCATTACTAAAAACATAAATAAAACATAAAACATAAACCCTAAATCAGGGGTCTCAAACTCCAGTCCTGGGGGGCCGGAGCCCTACACAGTTTTTGGTTTACCCTCATTTAACACACCTGATTCAACTCCTTGTGCTAATTACCACACAGCTCTTGAGCTGAATCATTTGTGGTGGAACAGGGAAAGAACTAAGCTACACAGGGCTCCGGCCCCCCAGGACTGGAGTTTGAGACCCCTGATTTAGGGTTTATGTTTTATGTTTTATTTATGTTTTTAGTAATGCATAAACACATTCATAATGCATGATAAAGCATTCATAAAGCATTATAAACATGGCTATAAACATTTATAAAAAGGAATAACACATTATAGCCAAGTTTATTAGGCATTATGACTGCCTTATGAAGCTCTCATCTATAATGCACTATAGATACCTTTATAATGCAATATAAAACATCTTCAATGCTTATACCAACCATTCTAATGCATTATAAAGGTATCTATAGTGCATTATAGATGAGAGCTTCATAAAGCATTCATAATGCGTAATACACACGGTTATAATGTGTTATGCCTTTTTATAAATGTTTATAATGCTTTGTGAACGCATTATTATTTGTTAAGAATGTGTTTATAAATTAATAAAAACATGGCCTTAAGTAAAGTGTTACTAAATAATGCTAATCATATGTGACATTTTCATTAAAACCTCATTTCTTTACAGTATACATTTTCTTAACATTCGCTTTTGTCCAAAGCGACACACAAGCAAAAATCAGGCAGCATTTCTAGAGAAGGGCCTTGTTCATAGGCGAAAAGGTGACATCATTACTCTGCCCGCCAAGGGAATCAAACCCATGAGCTTCTGGATGTGGCCACAGATACCTTAACCATTGAGCTACTCACAGCCCCATTCACCAGCTTTGGCAGTACGTGTGACCCTGGCAGCACAGGGACACCCCACATGGAAATACATTTTGGTAACAAGATTGTTAAACCTGGCCATTGGCCTCCAGTCACACTATGCTGAATGTCCTCCAGTATGACTCCCTGTTTCACCCCCTGGAATTTTTCTGTCCAAATACAGACCAGGTCTGACTTTTGTAATTCACTTATAAAAATATGTATGTCTCTTTTTTTACATCTGAAATGAGTATTTATATAATGTCTTTCCGTGGCTACAAGGGGGAAAACTATCTGAACATAAAATGTGCTTTGCAAAACCTGAAAACTGATTATTTCTCAAATGATTGACAAAATAGGATACATTTAAATAGTTAAATTAAGCCATATACTGTCAATTTAATGTTACACATTATCAACTATCCCTAAATGCATTTCTAAGCTGAACATACTCATCATAACTTTCCATTATCTGTTACGATTTACCTAAAACCATATTTTGGCTGTCTAACGATCAAATCTGAACTATAGGCTGATCTCACAATTCTGTTTGTTCTCTTGAGTGTTCTGACATTTAAAATACTCCACCCATACCCTGACCCTTCTGCATTTTGATCATTCTCTGTGGTGCTGTTATTTACCACCGTCAATATCTGATTCAATTTTTGCAAGGACTTGCATCTTGAAGATTCGAAATACCTTCGATTGTATCAGAACCGATGTTTCCATTTTGTAGAAGCGGAGCCCTTGTGTTCTGGGAGTGGTAGATAAAAGGGGAAATTAAATCTAGACTGCGAAGTCCCTTGGCAAGCTCACTGTCAACACCATGATATTCATACACAGTGCGGGAGGAATTCAGGGGCAGTGCATGATGGGTAAGCATTAATGATGCGCAGATATACAAGACATTAAAGGAGTCTGCTTTCGTAGATTCTACATAACTGCTTTAGTTTGAGTTTAGTTTTCACTTTGAGTGTTCAAAGTATTATTATTCTCATCTTTAAATACAAAAAAATTCTTAGATGCTTTCTACAGACCACAGTGGCAAGTTAATACAATACATACAAAACAAATATAGTACAATACCCAACACTAAATAACCATCTATCCATCTTCTAATTGATTATCCGAGACAGGGTTTTGCCCCAATGCTGAAAACTATCCCAAGCAACATACAGCATGAGATTGCATGTGTTTGAGTGCCGATATGCCATGTAGAAGCGATAGATGCATCCAAATTTAGTTTAACGGTCTAATCTTGAAATTGTTTGCTAGTTGGCTGTCCTGACTCCCATCGGACAGTCTAGAGTGAAAGGTAAAATGAAGCAGGAGTTAATAGGGGCAGCTCTTTATTTATCCTGTCAGGCAGCTTACGGGCAGCCCTGGATTCTGAGGACCATGGCGGCAGAAGGCGTGACAGTTCGATGGGACCTAAGATACGGGAGCAGGAATGTGTGTACAAGATGCTGCTGGCCCCCCAGGTGATAATTATCATGGATGGGGGGCTCTGGGCCTGGGACTCACCTCCTTGTCGCTCTTTCGCTTTGCATTTCCCCCCCTACTGTCGCACGCTCACGCCGTTCTGAGCAGCCAGTTGGCTGGAGGCCATGCCAGCACCGTCAGGACTGCTCACTGAGGGGGTGGGTGGGTGGGGGGGGGGGAGGGCAGTCTTTAATCTTATTCACACATGACTGATGTCCTCTGAGGGTCCTGAGCTCCCTAGATAACATGGGAGAGGCCTGCATCTCAGTGATTTATTATTTACATTTATTTACTTATTTACTTGACAGGGACAATGCATAGTTAATAACAGTGCCAGAGTTAGCTAGAAAGCTAAATCTCATCCGCAGTGCCTGGACAGATAATACAAAGACGGGCACATTTTACAAGATAATGTACAGCAAAGTTAAAGTTGTAGTGTCAAAACATTAAAGTGCACTGTGCTTAATGTCTTAAAGAAACTAATGGGCATGACTGATTTGATTCCTTTTTGATTAGTTTTAGTTTAGTAATTTAAAATTGAGGTAAAATAGGTAAAATTGAGTTTCTGAACTTTGATACTGCTGGGGATAGCGTTCTAAATAATTATAACTGTAATGAAATGAAAAACTCAAGGAGACATTTCAAAATTATTTCTCTTTTCCTGGAGTTAATATGCTGAGGTCCACAGCACACTGTGCCTCTCTCCAGCATTAATGACCCAGAACTAAGCCGTTATATTTAGTTTCTTGCTAAGTTTTATCTCCCTAACTATACATGGACTTCCGGCAGGTTTCCCCTTTATCTGATTC